AGTCGACTGGTTTAGGTCCGAAAAGGCTGCGATGCAGCGTTCCTCCTTTATTCCCAATCGAACATGGTTGAACAAGCGGTCACGTGCTCCTGGGTGCCCAAATCACCTGGTCACCACGCCAGCAGGCGACAAATTTCACACCAAGGTTCAACTCGAGTGACAGGAGTGCACCCAGAAAAGGTCAAACAGGCTAGTAAGTAAGTTGTACCCTGCAGGCACGGTGGCCAGGTGACTGGCGTACGCAGGAGCACGTGACCGCTTGTTCAACCATGTTCGATTGGGAATAAATGAGGAACGCTGCATCGCAGCCTTTTCGGACCAAAGCCAGTCGACTCAGCGTCCAAAAGACTACAACATATGGGCCAATTGCGGTCATCCGTGCTTTTATAATAACGAAATGGCGCTTTTAGTGACATTTTGCATACAAATCCCCATCTAGGAGGGCGCAGTCACCCAGTTTCGGTGGAAGTGCGCGAGTTCGATTGGGATTCAAGTAGGAAGGGAGCGTCTCAGCTTCCTCGGACCACGACCATTCGACTCAGCACCCCGAAGACTACAACTGGTGAAATTTTAATTTTTGCCTTAACTTCCCCTTTAACATTGGCCGGTGTTTCCACCGAGTCTTGAGATGTTGTAATAAATAAATAAATAAATATCGAGTGCTACGTCAGTTGAAAGAGCATGAATACATGTAGCTGCAAAATCTCTGAAAATTTTGTCTCGATCTGACCAGCCGGCTATAAGCCGTTCAAGAGTTATGGCCGAAAATGTGCCCTTGCAAGGAAAGATTTTTTTGTTGCACGCTGTCATTTTTTGGCAGCACTGTATTTGAATGTGAGCAGACCGTGCGCAACTTGTCGTATCATGGAAAGTTGGAAACACGCGAAAACGTGCAGAATTCTGCTCCAAAAAAGTCCAAAAATGTTTAAAATATGTCTTGGGTTCGCTGCAAATTGAGTTTTGCCCTACTCTGGTCCAGCGTGATGTGTTTGCGCGGATCCCGGAATCTTCGGCCGGTGCAGTTGGACTCACCTCCCACCTTGGCGGTTGCTGAGGCGGGCATTCGCATTAATTTTGATACCATTTGCCTCTGGTTTTGTCTGTATTGGTTTCATCTGTGCTCTTTTCATCCTGCTATTATAGTAGTTTTCGGTCCGCGCGCTATTGGGTGGCTGATAATTTTTTTTTAATCACGTTTTTTAGCCACGGGCTGCACGGCGGCGGGCTTCGGGGTCATGTCAGGACTTTTGCTAGCAGTAGCACCCTCGTACATGTACATCGTGACGTTGCAGATATGTGGCTTGATTCTTGTAAGTAGTTGTAGTTGACGTTGAATAGTGACTTTGGCAAGTTTGAGTCGTGCCAAGAAGTCAGGTAGGATTCAGTACTAGGCAGTAGTGGAACGTGAGTGGTAGTCTTTGCCGATTTTTGAGGGTATCCTGGATTTGGTGTGCAGCGCTGTGGACGTCCCACGGTCCCACTCCCAGCACTGAATGTTGTATCAAAGGTACGACCTCGTAGCACGTGCTAAACCTAAAAAATTCAAAAATTGACTTGGGTCTGTGCGAGTTTATGAGAGAACGCCCACTCGTTCCGTTGTGACAGATTCCAGGGCCACGTTGAGGGGCCCTACCCCACCACCCATTACTAGTCATGGCCAAAATTTGCTCGGCCTACATCGATATTTTGCCGCACAGTTTTGCCACAAATTTTTCGATATTCTGCTTGGCATTTCCTTTCTCCGTCGGTATTTTGCTTTGGTTTTGCTCGAGATGAAATGAGTTTTAGGGAAAACTCAACGATAATTGTCGCTGATGACGACGATATTTTTGATTGGGCTCCTGCTGCTGCTCAACTTTCCACTGAAATGTAGCCATGAGTCTGTTTTCTACAACTTTTGTGCTTGTTTTCAACCTCGGTGACTGATTGTGTTGAGGAAGTCCCTAAGAAGCCTTGGATTTTTCGAAAAGCCCACCAAAACTCGATATTTTGCTCAAAACTTGCCAGAAACTTGCGCATCCGATATTTTGCTCAAAGAATTGCTAGCAAATTGGGGCTATGACTACCACCCATGGCTGCTTCTGGACTTGTTTTAGGTTTGGCAATTGGATCCCGCACACGGACAGAATCGTCACGAAAATATGAAAAAAATTGTAAATGCATTTTCAAGTTTGGCTCCTGGGTGGCTCGCACACCGTGGCACTATGCCGGAATTTTGAGTTTTTCCGGCCTGGAAAGCATGTCAGTGAGGCGCAAGAGCGTTACTTTTAAATCATGTCCAGAGGGCCACTGAGCATAGTGGCAGGAGTGTGTGGTGAAAAGTTCACTCAAATCCATTGAGAGACACCAAAGTTACAGTCACTTGTAAGATTCGACATCACCTATAGTGCAACTTTCACTTCATTTCTCTCTTCGTATCCTCCTGCTCTCCTCGACCGATGAGCGGACAGCAACGTTAATTGGTCCCAACCGCGTTTCTGAACCCACGACGACCTGAGATCGACGCAGAATCCCGGATCGCCACTGTAGGCACGGGCGGATTATGCCGGTATAATTATTGGCATGATTTGGTGGTTGAAAATTTGGAGCCGCTTTAGGAGCTGCATCTGAGCCTTGAGCCTTGAAGGGTGGTGGCGTTCCTACGGATGCGGAAAACTCGGCCTCTAAATAGAGAAACCGAGTCTCACGCGAACCGTGAAATTTAATAATTGGCATCCTTTCGGAGGTAGGATCATAACTACTACATGGTTGTACCAAAATTCTAGTATGTAGGCTACACAATTGTGTACAATGAATGCACCTGATCAGTGCTGGTGGTCTGCATGGTAAAGGGTTTGAAGGCCATGCAGATTGTGTTTTCAATGAAAGGCAGGGTAGGAATCATGGCATTACATTATTGTATGCTCGAACTACTTCGAAGTAGTCTTCTTGAAAGTTCTTTCTCACACTGATCCAGTACATGTAGCAGACGATACGAGTGAATCAGCTTTTATCAGGGATCCTGGGGTGGACGAGATAGCCAAGGGTAGTCCGCAAAACTCCGCGTACATGTACATTATGCATGTTGCGAAGTCATGACCTCTGCATTTTAGCAGCCATGACTGCAGGCTATGGATAGTGCTCCAATAATTTTAAAAAAAAATGAGGTATAGTTGCTGCTCGGTCATGATGGAAGGAGAGGTGGAGCTACGCGAGAGATCAGCTGGTTATTCGCAGGGTGAGGGTGACATCGGCTGGACGAGTATGACGATTGCGAAGACAGTTGAACATGATCATTTTCAAAGGTAACTCAAACTAATTTGGCAATGAAAAAATCTTTTACAAAAGAAGTCAACCGATATGAATAGAGAAGTATTGACTGTTTTCTCTTTTGCATGTTGATCTCTAGTAATGCATGGACACCTTGGTATGGAGATACTCGTGTAACATTTTGTTGTACGTATGGCCACTTGCAAGTACGAAAGAGGCACAATTTTCCGAACTTTGAGGCTCCATAAGTACAACAAAGTGAATATGTATAATTATGTATTCCCTCGTGCCAAAGCATAATATGAGGATTTTCCGAGCATAATGCGAGAATCCAAGAAAGCATAATTCCACGATTTTGCAAGCATAATCCGCCGGAGCCTAATCGCCAGTCCATGCGCACTAGGGTCCAGCGGATAATGCCGGCATTATATTCGGCATTATACGACTATCCGAGCATCAGAGCATTATGGAGCATTAGAGAGGAACAAAACGAGCATTATGTGAGGTTTGAGCGGCATAACGAGTTTCACAGTGGATAATATCGGGAAATCCCAGGTTTTTGGCAACAATTGGCTACAATCATGATCATGAGATGTTGTCTGATGATTGGTTTTTGCCATGAAAGTCTGAGTAACAACGAAACAGCCCTATTTTACTCCTTTTGTGTACCTCTTGCGTACACTCACCCCCACCGTTAGGCGCTGCATCTGCCGCTAGGGTTTATCGGGTGTTAGCGGCCGTCGTGAGTTCCCTTCGGGGACAGATACGATAATTTACTTTTTTTTGCGTTCTACGCTCCGCCCGTTCCGGGTATAGTCGCTTGGGCACTTTCAATTTTCAAAAGTCCTGTGTACATTTGAGTCCAACATTTCTAGCGCTATCCTAGCTGATAGAGTGGGTCTCTAGGAGTGTTTTGGCACTAGGGTGCCATCTCGGAGCTGGGGCATAAGGGAGCGGCGAGTGGAATACTGCGTGTCCAATTTCCTGTACAATTTAGATCATGTAACCATGGTAACGGCGCTGACTCATTCAAAGACTGGCAGAATTTACGTCGTATTGTCGACTTTCCGAGTTGCCTATGTGACTGTAAAGTACACCAGGCACGCAGATACATTGAATGTTTGATGATAGGATGATGTGGACTGTATAGACCTCTTCAGGTTCCTGAAATATCATACTATTTTTGGTTCAAAGCTAGCTACACACTAGAGCACAATCAGGTATGTACAGTAGAAAGTTACTCCTGCGATTAGTTTATACTATTGCAGAGTTCCATTACTAGATTCAAAGTTCCATAATGTGTGCCAGGATTTTATAGTTTGGTAGTATGAGTCCGTGGTGATGCCCGAGCACTCAGTGTGGCATGACAAATCGGCAAATCACGAAGTACAGTTGGAAACCGCCTTACTGCCATCAAACAATCATCTCGTTATAACACAATCAAGCCTGTCTGTCTTAGTACACTGTTCTTGATATCATAGGTGTCCTCAGTCATGGGACATTTGGTGATTATAAAAAGTACACAGCAAATGTTTAAAACCGGCACCTAAGAAATCACGGGATGGCCCACGCCTGTTATTAAAAATACACCAAAATGATAAGAATTCTCAAGGCAGAGACCAATGCGCAGCAACACATACGCATACAGTGTTTGCATTTGAGCTGCAATTGCAGCAGTTGGCACTGAGTGTCAGTAACACTCTGTTAACAAGTTACGGCCGCGAGATACATGTATATAGCAAGGAGCATGACTTCATGCCTGGGGTCGCGGGTCACAAGAGAAAACCCGAGCATTAGAAATAATATTAATACACAATGAGAGGCTTTGGGATGCGTCTAGGCAATGCAGTGTAGCCATTCACTGTGGAGAGAGGAGTCAGTGACTGCTATACTAGGTTGTCGTGCACGGGTGACTTATAACCTAGTTACTTGCAGTGACAGTATCGGTAGGACTAGTAAGTATGCTGGCATAACCTGTACAGGCAAACAGTAGAAATAGCATGGAACATGACCAGGTACAAGTGCACAGCGAACATACTGAGGCGCGCTGTCGAAAAGCACGATGGAAGTGGTTGACCTGGAATGTTCTGTTGGGGACTGCCAGCTACACTTGGTTGAACGCAGCTCACTTCCCCGGTGTAAACACTGTAAGCCAACACACACAAATACATGACCTGTCTCAGCACCAAAGGAAACATCTGCCAGGCACAGAACGCGTTCACGCAGAAGATCTGTGATGGCGTGATACTTCTATGTACTATGGAAGGCTATGCACACATATCCTGATGTAGACTATCTTACAGTATGTTTTACATGGAAGCTACCTTGCTTGGACCAACAGTGTACAATCATGCACAACACACAGCCATGAAAAACTTACAAGTAACTACCTGACACTTGACTAACATTCACACTTGAAACATACTTAGGGAAATCAAACAGGCCTTACCGTGACCAGAAATCCATGGAAAACTGATGTTCAGCAGTTATTCCGCGATCTCGTGGGAGGGGTTGTCAACATCATCAGTTTGACCATCTTCATCATCAGCACTGTCTTCATTGTCTCCATGAAGTGTAGGTGCTGCAAGCACTTCGGACACAGCATTGTGCGGATTCGCGCAGGAACTGCATTGGCATGCATCGGTGCAAGAAATGGAGGACTGTAGGCATGAGCACCGGCGCGTTGAACATCCAGTGGCGCAGGCACACCGGATGATCGCCATCAGCTCTGGTGGTGCAGGAGGAAGAAGACCCCACATGATCATGACATTAGAGTCGTCTACCCTCCATCCATGATCACTGATGCTGGGTAGGTCTGGGGATGCGACCAGTGCCCGTTTCCACACACCAGCCTGGTAGTTGGCCCGTTTGACGTGCTGCTCCAAGCTATCGGCGCAGGGTGGGAGCTGAGCAGGGGGTGGGGACCGAGAGCAGAACGCCTTGTACCTGGCCTCGTTGATGCTCTCGAGTTCAGGGTGACCGTAAAGGTGGCAGACATACTTCTCCACTTCCTTCTGGAGGTTGACTGGCAGCACAAAATTGTCGCCCATGTGTGCTAACGCAATCTGGTGGCTTTGCTTGCTCTTAAGGACTTTCCACGCCTTCTTCTTTCCTATTCGGTAGAAGGAGCTGGTGCTGTCGCAGCCAGTGACCGCATGGAGGCCAAGCAAAGCTGAACACACCTGTGCTCCCAGCTTTTCAGCGACAGCAGAGATGTCCACGATGCGTGAGGCTGCCCGTCTGCCAGTCTCAAACAGCAATCGGGCTGGAATACTGGACGCTAGAGCAATGCACAAAACGAGGACGTCGGTGTCGGGTGACCGAATGACCACTGCCGAGTAGTCTGCACTTGCATGGTAGGCATGAAGCAGCATCCGCGTGTCGGCCTCCTCCTGTGTTGACCGGAGGTTTGGCACCTCTTCATACGCTACGTGGTCACCGTTGGCCTTCAGGAGGTAGGCCATGTCCCGGACTGTTATGACAACGCATCCCCCTTGCAGCAGCTGTGCGCACTCTGCAGATTTCCAGTGGTTGAAGAGGAACTGCATGAGCTCCTCCTTGTTGGCACCATTTTTCATGAACAATTTCCAGTTCCTTGGACATGGCTGGTCAGGCCGCAGAATTCTGGTGCGCAAGGCCTTGGGGACCGCAGAGGAAATCACAAATTCCCCGGCACTTGGTCGGCTTGGACAGCTGAAGAACAAGATCTGTTCCTGGAAATAATCAACTAGCAGCTGTTTCAGAGCAAATAAACGCCACCTGGGTGGGTCGTTGACGCCAATGGAAGACAGGAGGGTGGCATACTTCTGGCGCATGCTGGCCATGCTCACACAAGCACCGACGTCTACCTTACTTTGAGATAGGACAAGTGTCTGCACGGACATGGTCAGCTGGGCAAATGCTGCACCGAAGCTGTCAGTATGACCCAGGGACGATGCTGTAGTGGACACTGTGGGCTTCGTCAGGCCCTCGTGTGTCCTCTTGTGAGTGTAGTTGGCCAGGCACGAGCGGTGATACTTGATTTCCCTGGCGATTGCATCTCCACCAGACACCTCCCTCAAGACCCGCGAGTCACTGCGAATTGTTGCAGCATTGACGATGTTATTGCTCGCACTGAACGATATGCATTGGGTCAGTGACTCCTTTTTCCCACTTCTTCTTTTTGACAGGTGCTGGCAGAATAGGCACAAATTTAAATCTGTCTGGCTCCCACTGGAACGGGTCCTCTTTTTGGGGGGCTCAACATCTCTTTGCTCAGGCTCGCTGTCATCACTGTCATCATCATCATCATCACCTTCACTGCCTTCGTCGCCACCAACAGCCTCGACGGGCCGGACAGACTCAGCAACGGCTGTCTTCTTCAAAGTCTTTTTGTTTGTGTACCACTTGTAGCAGGCTTTGTGGTATAGAACTTCGCCGCAAGTTTCTCTATCAAGATTTCCGATCGACATCCAAGTGTCATCTCTCTTCGTCTCAGCTGCATTCCATAGGGTAGTCCAGGTAGTCTCCGTCAAGCGCTTGAGAGGCTGATGAGCAGGAAAATTCGGGTTGTGACAAATGCATTTCACTCCTTCACCTGAAGCTTTCGCCAAGGAAACAGTTTCCAGCCCCAACTCGTCTGCCATGTCGAACAAGACAACTAACAACAGGAATCATAAACACTTGCACCTTCTTATCTGCCATCTACCTGTCTAGGTTGTCGGACAGATCGGCAAAGAAACTTAGAGAGGCCATGCGATCGGCATTGGATGAAAGCAAAAACACAATTGTCGAACCAGTCAAGTAAGTTTGAAATTTAGTCGTGGGCGGACGTCATCATCCTTTTCACTTGCGCAGAATTCGCATATGCGTGTTTTGAGCATGCGCTTAATTTGCACAGTGTTCGTCTTCGTATTCAAACAAGTCGCCGTAACTCCCTTCAGCCCCAACGCAGAAAAGGCACCCAAGCGCGAAATTGTTTGCCCTGCCGATCTCCAACACGTCCAACCACCCACGAAATGTTGGACTCAAATCGACACAGGAAATCAGAAACGAGCACTTTTTGAGAAACCGGCCAACTGACTAGTAGGGTCTTGCGGATTCTGCCGGCAGAAAAATTGGCAGAATTCGGTACTTTTTCTGGTAAGTTCCATGCATGTTTGGTATATGGAAAAACATGGAGCAGAATTCGAGGAATTGCCCGCCATAAGGTTTGTATGGTTCTGCCAATTTCACTGCTTTTCGAGCAGAATCTGCCACCTTTTCGAGCAGAATCCGCCGGTCCCTAATTCTGGGCATTTGAGCACTATGCATTTTACCGGCGCATGACTTTGTGATTGTGTAGTAACACCTTTAGCACTAACGCTACATAACTGTTGCTACATAAAAACGTTATGATTGTAGCGTTGTGGTCAGGTAAATGTATACAAGCCATTTGTGAAGCATGCCCAACCGAGGCCGCGCCGAGGCAGTTCAAGTGACACAAATCCGGAGAAATTAAAAGAGGTTTCTTTTACTTTTAGAATAATGGAGAGCTGTGCAGGAGACATACGCGAAGTGAATATCAAACAGACGAAGAAGAGTTTTTTAGTTGTGCCAGAGGCTCTGGCGATAGCATCTCTAGCGATACTGAAGTAGACACTGATGCATTGCTAAATTTGGACCAGGATGAAGGAGCGGCTATAAAACAGAAAGAGCTTGTTCCAAAAGAACTGCTTTTGCCGAGTCCAGCTCAGGAGGCTCGAAAAGAACTAGAATTTCTCATGGACTCAGTACCAAGTCGATTGCTCAGCAGCGCCTGTCTTACTTTCCTGGTGAAGCACGTACAGTTAGTTGTGGACGGTTGTAATGCCAGGCTTACAGTCAAATGCTATCAGAAAGGAAGAAAGAGTGTGGCAAGCCATTCGTCTACACACCATCTCAAGGAGAAGATGAGAGCACAAGCAAAGGATGTAGAGTGGCAAAATAACTTCTGACCACGTGTTTTCAGGATTTCCGCAAATGGGAGGGCTCTCCATCTGAGATCGGATCTTGTTTGCTACATTACACTCAATGCACAAGGCTCTCCAGGTCCCATCAGCCCACAGACAATCCCACTCCCAGTCCCCGTCCCACCATTCGATCAAAAGCCTCGGACTCACGACCCTCCATGTTCCTCCATGTACATGTACGTCCAGATACATGCAGTACACAGTTCTGGACCATCCAACATTTCGCCACACTGCAGCTCCCGTACAACCCTTTCTCACAGTTCTCACAACAAAGTTTCTTAGCCTTTTCATTACCCATCCCGACCATGTCCAGACCAAGCAATCAGTTTGCTGGAGCAGCAGTCACTGACTTGGATCAGACCCAAAATACTGTATACCCTGGAAGTACGCACTCAACTACCGTAACCAGTCCATGTAACAATGATTATACCGCCACATGGTGAGCGAATCCTTTCCCGTCGTACCGTCCCAGAGAGACGCGAATTAAGCAATGTTACCGTCCCAGCAGGCCAGAGAGACGCGGATCAAGAACTGTTACCGTAACCAAGATAAGAGTGACGCGATCGAACACATCCCTTTTACCGTCCGTCGCGAACACATACATTTTCTCGCTCCACCGAGAGACACATCCTTCACACATTTTAAACACAAGGTCCCTACTTTATCAGTCTACCAACACAATCATACTGCCTCACCACATGAACATAATCATTCGTACACCTGCCTACTGCCTACTTTTGAAAATCACGAGGGCGTGATTATCTGTCTGAAGGGAGTGAGTGCTCCAGATTTGTCAAGCGCCTGTGTGGCCTCATTTCAAATGGGGACACGAAGTTGTATGCCGAGACAATAGGGAGGTTTCGCTCTACGTAATTACGTATGAAAATCCGTATGTCGTAGATCTACGCGCCGGGGAGCGAGGGCAACTTTCATACGTAAATCTCTCTACGGATTTCCGTAGGAAAGCTCTTTTCTACGTTGGGTCCTGAGTAGGACTTTTTGAAATATTTTTTCGCATTTTCCGCATTTGTCCATGGCAACGTTCAAGCCACGCGAAACACAACTAGCTCACAAGGTACACACACCGTACACCACGTGCAAAACAAAAATGGAAAATGCGGTTTCGGTTCACAGTGCATGCGGTGGGCGCATGCAGCCAACGCGTCTCCAAAGCAACAACGCATGTTCAGCAGTCGTGGAGAAATCACGTAGAGCGAAACCAAGAGTACCCCCTGTACTCTTGGCGAAACCCAACAGCTCTGATTTTTACGCATGAAAATTCCGTGCAGGTCCTACGTTATTTTCATACGGAATTCTGTAAAGCGAAACCTCCCTTATGACATATGTCCGGTGTCGACTGGCGTTTGCATTGTTGCGGTCGGCGATCATGTGCATCCGCAGTGCGCGATTGTCATATCACCGTCCTGTGAATGCATTGCGAGAGTTGGCAATCTTGGAGGGCCGGCTGTGAGGTTTTGGAGACAATGGTGGGCAGGACAGTGCCCTTGTATTTTCCTGTTTTTTTTCTTCTTTTTTCTCTCGTTTTGCGTTTCTTTTCACACATACAATTGTTTTCATTTTTCTTGGTGTTGTGTTCACACGTCGAAAATTTGATTGAGAATTATTGTAATTTGCAGCGAAGAGACCACTTGGATTGAAGATGGTGTGTGTGTGTGTGTGTGTGTGTGTGTGTGTGTGTGTGTGTGTGTGTGTGTGTGTGTGTGTGTGTGTGTGTGTGTGTGCGTGTGTGTGTGTGTGTAAGGTTTTCCATGCAGTTATCAAGTAAGACTTTCGTCATAAAGTTACATTAGTTGCACTTCTAATAATGGCAATAAGTAGGGCGAGCTGAAGGTGACATTTGGATTACTTTATTAAACAATGTAAGTGATGGAGACGATGCAAAAACAATCTTAAGGGTAAGGAAAAATACATGTAAGAAGAAAAAAGCTATGGAAAAAAGATGATTCGAACAAGTTTTCGTACAACACTCTTCAGGAATCACCGTTGTACGTACTAAAGAACAAAATGAGAACAAAGGAAATAATATTAGCAATCAAGGTAGGGCCTAGGGTAGCAGGATACAATGACAGCACTATGATATCGAGGTGCGATTTCTCACAAAAATGTGCAGAAAACAAGGGCATACAAGTAAGAATTATTATAATTACAACCCAATACTAGTTCAAAACTAGGATTAGATAAACCTTGTTATAGTTCACACATGTTGTTAGATTGACAGCATGAAACAAGGTGGAGGACACTGTGTTCGGAAACAGTGACCTTACGACAACCATCAACACCCATATGGTTCAAATGGTCCTAACCGGGACCGGGGGCTCTGCCAACCGTGGATGGTTGTAGTAAGGTCACTGTTTTCGAACACAGTGTCCTCCACCTTGTTTCATGCTGTCAATCTTAAACAACAAGTAAGAACTAATACCAATCGTGAGTTGTGGTTTCGGTGTTTTTTTTCTTTCAAAACGTCCTGAAGATGTCTTCTCTTGGTGGTAATCGGACGTGTTACGACGAAGTCTTGCAAGCGTTGCAAACGCCTGCCTCGTTTCCTGCGGAAGCGAAGAGGCGTAGAGCAATAAAACGCTTTGCAGTCAACTTCGTCTTGGATCGTGGGGTCCTTTTTCGCCACACAGAATGAAGGCCTACCAATGGATGGATCACAGACGACGGCCAACAAAAGGAGATCTTGCATCCATGCCACTCGCATATGTCTGGTCACCTTGGCCGTGATAAGACGAGGAGGAAGGTCTGTGAGAGGTGAGTAACTTGGATTTATTTATTTTCAGTCTCAGAATCAGTGAAAGTCGAGAGGATGGTAGTGTGTGGAGTTAGTAAGGGAGTTAGTGCACCAACTTTATTATTATTACTTTGAAGTACTTTCAAACGTCTTCATGAAGGCCCACACACAAAACTGACCACAACTTACAAGGCTTCTTTGTAGGGCTGTTACATGGGGCGTTTACTTGAAACCCGGGTCGACTTTCCACCCGTGATGAATACAGATTGACTGGTAAAATGTATTTCTGTTGGCATATCAGTACAGTAATTGACCCGGATTAATTCACCATTTCATTAGCAATGGTACATTGCGACATGAAGTGGGGGTCGTGTGAGGAGTGTAGAGCGAGATATAACACTGAGTGTATAGTCCTTATGCACATTGTACAGATGTACGAAGTTCTGTACTAGGGCCGTAGGTGTGTACATACCCGGTTGGGTGTTCATTGTGTGCTATACATGCGTGTTTGACCCATTTAGCCTCATAATTCGCGGCGAACAATCACTTTTCCAGCTTCTTCACTTTGGGATTGAACTAACGACTCGCTAGATCACTGTCGAAAAAGTGTTCGTATGAAATGCCTTCAGGGCCCATTTCGCTGTGGAAATGGCAATAAACACAATAGGGTCCTGCACATTCAACACCCAACCGGGTCTACGGGATTCTACGGGATTTCGTGCATCTGTACAACGTGCATAAGGCCTATTGCTTTCAAATCCATCAAGATTACATTAAACCCAACCGATTTTAAAAGTCTTTTTTTACACAAACACATGAAAATTTCGACTCACATTCTTTACGGATGCCTTTGGAAAATCGCAAAACCGACCACAGCGGCAGCTACAACGAGAATAGCAACATGAGAACACAGTGGTCGCAGCGTGCTAGCAGGCACAGAAGACAGAGTATTAGCAATGAAAGGAAAAACTCAGAAGGAAAACCCATCCAACCGGGAAAGGAAGACCCAAGCCTAACAAGGGCACCCAACGTTCCTCGGAATAGCCAGGAACAAGCGAGAAATAAGGGAGGGAAGGGTAGGGACACTGTGATATCTCGCTCTACGCTCCTCACACAACCCCCACTTCATGTCGCAATGTACCATTGCTAATGAAATGGTGAATTGCGTATCGGAGCTTCGATATAACAGTGTATGTTGAAAGCGCCAACCTAACAGGACGCCATAAAAGCAAGACGTAAAAGAGAACAAACGCGGATAACGTGAAAAGGGGGTATAAGCCGTAGCAAACAAAGAGCATGGCCAGTGTTCATGCCGTATGGGAAAGCTGAAGCACAGCAGAGCCTAGCTGAGCCCGGGCAGGCACATCCGAAGACAGTCGGTGGTAAAATCGACAGAATGTGGATTCCTGTCGCCAGTCAGCCGTGGCGAGGATCACATCAGTTGACACACCCCTGGATGCAGCGGCCGACGTAGACGCACCACGGGTGGAGTGTGCCAGAAAGGTCGGGTCAATGCCCGCCTGCCGCATGACCTCCTTCAGCCAACGCGCACTGGTAGGGGAGGACACAGGGCGATGGGGTTTGCGGAAGGAAACCAATAGTTGAGCAGGGCGGCAGTCCGGGTGCCAGGTGGCCGACTGCCGAGCTTACTCCAGCAAGTGGACGACAGGACAAAGGCGAGGGTTGGCGAAAGCCGCGAACTCAAGCCGCTTCAGTGGCGCACCCACACGCTGAGTCTTGGTGGGAGCCCACAAAGGAATGGATACCATGTCCGGCGACACAATAAGGCCGTCAGAGGCCAACTTCCAAAGCTCATCTGCCCGCGCGGCCCTGGTAAGGGCCAGCAGCATTACCAGGCGCATAGGAGAGCTGCTTGTTGGTCAGGTCGGCAACAAGGGGCCAGGTCAGGAGAAACGCCAAGACAGTGTGCACATCCCAGGTACAAGAGTAGCGCGGAGCCGGTGGCCGAGTATGGTAGATGCCCTTGAGCAGGCGGACGACCAGCGGGTGGGAGTCGATGGGCGAACCGTCAATCGGCAGAAGAGCACCAGAGAGGACCGAACGATAGCCAGAGATGGTACGGTAAGCACGACCCTCCGTGAACAGCACCGACAGGAAGGTGAGCACATCCATTAGACGCGGTCGAACAGGATCGACTTGCTGTTCCATACACCAACGATTCCAGCGTGACCAAGCGCTGTCGTAATGCCGTGCTGTACTCCGGCGCCAGGAAGCCATGAGCAGGGTGGACACTGATGGAGGAAACTATCCACCCGAGAACGGATACCAGGCAGGCGATCAGGTACAGCTTGCCGGCCTGGATCAGAGGGTGAGGCTCCCCGAGGGGACCGAGGAGTAGGTCGGCCCGGGATGGCAGAAGGAGGGGGCTTGGCCGTCAGAGTGCTGAGGAGAAGAGGGAACCAGACAGCTCCCCGCCACAGCGGCATGATCAGGACCAATGAACTAACCCGTTGGCGGAGCACTTCGTGAAGAACACGGCCGATCAGGGCGAATGGAGGAAAGGCGTAACCGGCCACCTCGGCCCAATCCAGGGTGAATGCGTCGGTATTGATGGACGATGGCTCTGGCCGCCAGCTGACGTACCGCGGTAACTGAGCGTTGATGCGCAAGGCAAACAGATCGACGGCGCTGGGCCGGAAGAACTCCTGCAGAGTGGAGAAAACGGCGGGATTGAGTTGCCACTCCGCGCTGCTGTGGTTCCTTGAATAGAAGTCGGCGTCGATATTTAGACGGCCGGGTAGGTACTCCGCGAGCAGGTGAATGTCCCGGGCCAGGCACCAGTCCCACAGCTCCGTGGCTAGACGGCTCAGGAGAGAGCTGTGAGTGCCACCCATGCGGTTGACGTAAGAGATGGCAGCCTGGTTGTCCATCTGGAGCAAAACGGTGCTATGACGGTTTCGCCGGGCAAACGTCTGAACCGCCAGGGATCCTGCCAGGAGCTCCAAGGCGTTGATGTGGAGGGAGGCCTCGGCAGGTGACCAGCGACCATCGGTATGGAGAGCCCCGCAAGCCGCGCCCCAGCCGCCATGAGATGACGCGTCGGACTGGATGACGACGCTCGGGGTTGCCACCTGGAGAGACCGGCCTGTCCAAGCCTGTAGTCTAGATGCGCTTGATTCATCAGGTCATGCATTACATGCATGTAGCTTAGATTCACCGTCACCATGGTCACTGTCACCATGCATGACATGTGGATATGACAATTCACTTAGTTTCTAGTTCTGTCCTACTGAGCGTCATATGACACTCCGAGGACCGAATTCATGCGCGTTGGCGCGCTTTTTGCTTTGAGTTGTTCTTTTGGACAGAAGAAATAATTAATTAGTTTACCAGAAAAGCCGTCCGGCATCGTTGTGACTGTCACATGAGCGTGAACACTGAATGCTTATTGCTGTGCAATCACTTGCTCTCCCATTTGCTAAATTTAAATAATAATTATTGTTCATTCCTCTGGCTGTCTCGACAAATGAGCTTCTGTATGGACTCTTGTCCATTGTGACGTGCCATTCAATGAATGTGTGCTGCGATGCACTTGTCGCCTACCACCACACACGCACATTGGCACGGACACAAGCTGTTGTAAACTGTTACCGTCGTCCCACGGCTGTGTGCCATCCACATGAACACTTTGGGGCGTTTTTTTTCTTCTTCTTCTTCTTCACCAAAAAGGACATGAGGCAATGATCAGGACTATCAGCATGAAACAAATCGATTGTTTCATATAATGTACTGAAAATGACCAACGCTGCACGGGTTAACTGGTAGAGCAGAGAGAGGTGACGCACAGTGACCAGAGAATGTACAAAAGAAGGTACACACAACACAAAAACACACAAAAAGCACTGAACACTAGACTATTTCGCCGCACCGAAAAGATATCGATAGAAAAAACACACGTACATTCTCTGCCACCACCGATCATCGTTTTATGCTTGCTATTCATGTACTAAACTACTGCTTTGTTTGCTTGCCTGCAATGGACATGGCGTAGAGTAATAATAATTATAGTGATATATGTACAGGGCAGGGCGTCCTACATCATAATCCAAAAACACCAGCCGAGCGAGAGGAATATATGTACAAGTAGTGGGCAACAAGTGGTCTGTCAATAATTAAACACATTTTAGACTGGTAGCAGGCAGGACTGCTCTCGTAAGACTGCAGCCGAAAGGAGGCGACGGCAGACTAACTTCGTGTACCGACAGACTAACTTTGTGTACCGTACTGCAGACTAACTTCGTGTACCGTACGGAAGGCACAGTTTTATTGAAACGGTAAAGAAATAAACCGGTAATAGAAACGCGGACAGGGGTACGAACAAGACTAGAAAAGAGATCACATGCGATCGCCTACGATCGCTACTCAAGTTTCGGGTTATGTTTTACCTCCAGCAGACAGGTCCTCAATGCTGTGTCTGCCTGCTAATCCTCAGTGGAGTGATGCTTCTTCACCACTGACCACTCTCTAAGAGTCACCTGGACGCACCAACCACCCACACCCACACACACACCACCGCCACTGCCAACGCCACCTGCGTTCGCATCGCACCAAAGCAGTGCACGGCCTGATAGCAACATTCAGGATGTAGAGCTGGGCGGCTGATGGTCTGGGCGCATTTGCGACAAGACATTGTCGATCCACTGGAGTGGGCTGTGCAGAGTGACTTCAATCCAACACGGAGTACTTGTTACCTCCTGTCGGTGATACTCTGAGCCCCAGCCCTTGACAAAGCTCACTCTGAAATGGCAGTTAGAGACGAGGTTGCTGACTGCATCGTATCCCTGGTGTACAGCTTCGGTCAGATCAGCAGCAAACCGTGGGTTGTTGAAGACCCTCATGTTGCGTGTCTTGGTCAGCTTGCACACGGTGGATGGGTTGAAGTGGTTAATGGCATTGGCGTTGCGCGACTGCACAAACAGGCTGGCCTCGCTCAGGCATTCGACAAACACCTCACCACCAATATAGAACATGTGCATGCCTTTGCCAATGTGCTTGCGGGCACTTTCAATGGTACTATTACGACCTGGATTGGACAGGAGGCCCAATGAGAACCGGTCCTGCTGCTGGTTAGGATCTGTGAAGCCATCAACAACAATGGAGGTCTTGCTGCTGTGCGCCAAGAATGGTTCACCAACTCGCTGGTTCAGCTCATAGTAATGGATAGCACACCAGCAATCCTGCTCCGGGTAGGGGACGGGTACGGCGTTGGCGGCTGCAAAACGCACACACGTACATAACACATGCAGGCGAGCATGCACGTGCACACGCGCGTGCGCCCACACACACACACACACACACACACACACACACAAACACACACACACACCTCAGACCTGTCCATCGCAGAAGCAATGATAGCCAACAGCTATGTTAGACATAGCAACTAGTGCTGGGATTACACCATTCAACAGCTTGCAGGGCTGATGAATTGACCGCCACTAATTCTAGCCTGGTATCCACCACACAGCTGATTGAAGTGGCTTTTTCTGGCCAGTGAATCCCTATTTTTCATTTTATTCATTCTTTTTTTTCTTTTTCGACACACACACACCACACCACATACTCCGGCATACACTGGCTGTTGGTAACCACCCAGGAGAATGAGAAAGAGAAGAAAGACGTGTGCGACCTTAATCGTCTGGAATTGAACCCGCAACCTCTCGATTGGAAATCGACTGCACATACCACTGCGCCATATGGGACACACACACGCGCACACACAGCATGATTGCATTGTTGCTGACGGTCTTTATGAATTTTTTGGAGCGAGCAATGCATTGCAACCTCCTTGGACCAAAACCGTCGACTCGGCGCCAAAAATCCAAGGATCCTGAGATTTTCATTTTTCACTCGCTAAATATTAGATGCAGTCAGCAACTTCATCAGGCCCTGTGTCCGAATCTGCTTATCTATCTCGCCCAGATTCAAATTACTTGAAAGACCTGCCAGGCACTATTATACATAACAAGACATCACTTTGACCATGATGCAAGAGCGTCAGGCGAAATAGCACGTCATAGTACATTCGAGATAAGCGGGAAGAAGATGACGACGTCCACTAATTTAGTATCTGTGCACACAAATCTGCTGTGTGTGTTACTCTGTGTGTCAGCTATGGCATCATCGCCTGTGGTTCCATGCCTAGCATGTACGTCTGAACCATCCTGCAAAGTTTGAATGACGTAGGTTGAGCGATCGCTCCGCGAAACATACTTTTTGAAATTCTCTTCATAGTATATCTTCCACCATTGAAATTTCGAATTTCTTCGAATTTTTTGCTGAGAGGGGTGGCTTGCAACCTCGATATGGCTTGTTCCAGGCATGCTTTGGAGCCATCGCCTGTTGAAGTAGTGGCGGGGATCTGCCCTGCAACTGCTACAACAACAAAATATTCGATCTGAGAAAGGGTGAGACCGCGAATCTCGGTTGAATATTGAGTATTTCAAGCCTTTTCACGACGAAGATGGAGTTTTTTTCGGAGATGGACGTCGCGGCAAAGGACATGGTGTCCGACTTCTGGCGTCTGGTGAAGCCAGGGATCATTTGTCCAGTCAGGTCGGCAGCCTAACCGTCGGTAAGCTTGTGTTTGGATCCCCTTCTGCTCGATGTGGTAGATCACAAACAATTTGATATCGCACAAATTGATCTCAGCATCGTGTGTACAGTATTTTATATTCAGAAAATCCCAAAGTGTCTCTGTGTGGCCGTCCTATGCCACGAGAAACTCCAATCAGGCTCCTATGTCCTCTGCCTTCATGATTGAATTTGAATAACGAACACAACAATCGAGGGCGGCTTTGCAATGAAAAATACAGCCATACTGGAGCTGATAAAAGAAGAAAAAAACGTGCTCAGGATGAGACTCGAGTACACGCATACTCTCCCAGCAGGTGAAACGCAAATTTTTGTGAAAAATGCGTGTCGCCGACTGACCAGTAATTTTCGCCTGACGGTACCGGCGTCAACAGTTTCAATATTGAATAGAACTGAAGTTGGAAATTGGCCTTGGGAACAGCATGTCTCTTCCATTGATCAGACTTTGGTGGCTGGAACAGCATGTCCCTTCCAATGACCTAAATACGCTATGGGCTGGAGCTGGACTTACGAATGCTGACGTGTGGACTCGGAGCTGGTGGATTGGCCATGCTATCTGTAAAAACAACAATAAAGACATCAGCATAAAGGCATATAGTAAGTTATATGTGTACGTTCTGACCAAAAATACCCAAGTTGCTGGTGAGGTATGTAGAAAGTAGTTGGGTGGACACACCCATTCCCAAAGCACTGCAAACGACCGAACCAATTCGTACCGTACAACAGTTCGGCAACATCGTCCCCGTCAGGTACAAATGAAATAATGATGCCATGCAGGCCAAACAAGAGCAACAACATGATCTAGCGCCAAGCGAGTAGTATATACAATGAGTTAAGCGGCAAAAGTGTAGGTGAGGCATTTAATGCCAGAACCCAAACATATTGTGAGGTCACATTCAGTCATTGTCGCCTTCCTAACACCTATATTTCTCACCTCATGCACTCATACTGAAAGAGGCATGCCAGTGAGGTAAGCTTCAATTGTAAGTGATCTTTTCAGTGAAGCATACAGGCTCTGTGGTTATTTATAATCGGATTGTCCAATTCAGTGGATTATGCAGTACATTGTACACGCATGCGGTTCTGCTGGTACCGTGTAAAAAAGTAGAGCGGAGAACACAAATGAAGAGGACAGTGGCGGAGAAGCAAAAATAAACGCCTGGTTGTGGCAACACCGTTCCTGAAAACAACACGCGGATAATCTTACTCATATCTACAGCGCTTCCAGCTTCTGATGCAGGTGATGAGGGCGACCGCATGTCGTCTGGATAGTAAGCAGGTACAGGTGACTCTATAGACACACAAGAAGCATAACACACGCCATCTATTAATTTGTTATTAGTCTCAGCACAGGTGATTACTGGCGTGAACGGTTTCAGTCATGCCACTTTCGCTAAAAAAAAGTGTAGGTACAGGATGCGCGTCGTCGGGAGAAAGGAACGTGGACCAGCTCTCCCAGTGCCGGTGGTTTCCCATACAAGTTGGGTACACAATGCACTGGTCCACATACGTTCATGCCACCGGAGAGACAGGCTCAGCCTGGGTGAGTAAAGTTACCACCGATGTGTGTACCAAGCTTACAAGCTCAGCGCTACGCATGCTAAACTTTCGTTGAAGCTCGATGAGATTGCAATACCAGACTCTTGGTCGACTGGGTTTGCATTCGCAAAAAGCCTCCAACCTTCAGCCCCATGCATCCGTATGTTTGATGACAAGAGTGACTGACATTGTTCAGTATACAGTCAAACCTCGTTAGGACGAACTTCAAGGAACTGAACAAATCTGTTTGTCTTATCGGGAGCTCTTCTTATCCAGATCTGACAAAAAAATCGATATGCATATCATATGGATTGTATTTACGTGAAGGTACATGCTGTGGTACATGAGAAGCATTTTATTCTTAGCATAAGCCAGAAACAGGTAAGTACAATGATAATGTGCAATGAATCACAACTGTGCCGAAACCTGGATACAAAGACCACCTGTGCATGTGCGTGCGTGCGTGTGTGTGTGCATGTGGGGGGGGGGGGGGGGGGCTATACTCAAGTCTGTCTGTTCAGCGGAGGTTGTTACTTGGTCTGCGTCAGCAATATTGTCACTTATCTTTAGACCATTTGAACTGAGACTTTGGACATCAACGCGTGCACTTGAGACGATAAAACTTGGTATGATGGAAGGTAAGGTAAAGAATGACAGCTGGCCATGAGGAATTTATTGTCCAAGGAGGGTTCATACTCTTTTGGACCTCCTCATCGCTGCTCTCGGTGCTGGTGACAAATATGTTTTGCTCGGGATCGACACTCTCGCTTTCGCAAGCTCATCTCTCTTCCTCTCCGCTGCCTGGCTATTTTCTAAAGGGAAGTCGGCCGTGACCGTCGCCTTCTCTATAGGACTTTCGCATGGGCAGCATGACTGCCTGTGTGGTTCAAATCAGTCGCAGTTCTTTTGCAAGATTTATTTTGGACGACGACGACGGCTACAGTACTTGCAAATCTTCACGACGCGCTGGATACTCAGAGCGCTGAGCTGGAGGTGAGGGAACTGCGATCTCAGCTTGGCGAGCGATCCCTGAGGTGAGCGATCTCGGCCTGTTTTGCAAAATGGAACTGATTCCGAGGAGCCGGTTACTTTCTTGTGCGTCGCGCTGCTCTTGCCTGCGCAGTGTGACAAGATAATCTACTTTGATGCGGCGCTGTATCAATCAGAATCACCCACCCGTCGCTTTCGAAATCCACTCGAAGTCTAGCTAGACCATTCAGGTACTAGTAAACTAATTTACTAACCAAAATTGGGATGAAATGGGCCGCCAAGTGAGCATTGACGACATAAATAAAAAAGCTGAAAGATAAGTAGCAATATTGCCGACGCGGACCAAGTATGTCCATTGGTTGGGTCTCTAGTGCACAGTTGCTGAGGCTGGTTGGTAAAGTAACTCGTCTGATTTCACTTCAAGGTACCAATGCATCTAGTGTCTGCTTCCATTTTAAGAAGCAGCGTACCCTACGTACTGGTTACCCCAGCAATTGTTGGGAGTACACTGGTAACTGTCTTGGCCGTTTTTACACCGCTGTGCTCAGGGTGGTGTAGACAAGGTGCGCATTGGGGGTCGATTCGCATGGCTTCGCCAGTTATGTGGATTGGGCAGTTATCTCGGTGCTTGTCTTGATCTGTTTCATGCAGGTCTTGCCCGCTATCGTTGCTACAAGAGGAAATCAGTGGGTGGACATCCAGGGCACATGCAGATTGGTGTGCTGCTTTTGGGATTGGCGTGCATGCATACACGGTATTTTAGAGGTGCTCAAAATTTTAGGTACGTATGAGGGCAAACGACCAGGTTACGAGAACAGCTAGTTTAGAGGTGCTGTACAGAGAGTCAGAGAAGCTATTCCCCAGTGGATGATGGGTGTAAGTGTCAGTGTGGCTATCGAAAATTTTAGGAGGCACGCGAAAATTGTGAAAATAAAAGTACCGTATTCAAAGGTACCGTGAGACCGCCCCACCATCTCGTCCTTTCGTGGTCGTGCTGTGGAGGTGGTCTCCTGTCTGTAGGTCATACGACACAAGCCTTGTACACAGACTGCACGCCTTGCAGTCAATCTGTACTCAATTTACCTTAGAGTGGACACGAGCTCCACACAAAACTTGTAAGTGTGATCTTGTTCTCACACCGTACACACTTCGTTGCACTCTGCCATATGATTTTCCTTTTCGTCAAGGTGGGGCGCTCTCGCGAGACGGGGCGCTCTGGCCGCACTTACATACACTGAAAATTTGGGAAATTACAGTAATCAGGCCTTACCTGGGGCACCAAAAGCTGTGGGTCCATTATGTGCCGGAGAGGCACCAGGTGCCTGGGCATTGCTGGGTAGGGAGAGTGCCTGAGGTCCCGAGCCAGTCACCCGATGAGAAGGCGGACGGTCGGAAAACCGGGGCACTAGGACGGGCGGTAGCACTGCAGGACCAATAGAGAACACAAACGAAAGACAAACGAAAGAAAAACGAGAGACAAACGAAAGACCTTCTTTTTATACAATCACATGACACATAGCCTCTGGAAAGTGCTGTATTTCTAACGGTATACCTGGGTGCTTGAAGTCCGGCCATGGTGTTCTAATTCTAACCACCAATAACAGTTTTCATTACTACTGTTTTCATAACTTAATGGTGTCAAGAAGGGAAAAATCTCAGAAGAAAAAATGACTGTCACCACCCTGGAATTGAAACAAGGACCTTCACTTGCGGCCAGCAATGCTCTAATCCACTGAACTATAGCGGAACTATCATCCCAGCAGAGACGACCTTTCAATAATTTCTTCGGACTTCAAAACTCACGCTTCCCGTGACACTACACAGGCTGCAGTGCTGGTGGGACGCAGACCCTTACTGTGCCCGCACACTTCATGCACAAACTACATGACTGATGATTGTAGTGTCAAGAGCACATAACCCGGGGGTTACGTACTCTTGCTACATGTAGTAATAAGTATGCAGGGAGCCCCGATGTACTTCAGTATCAAATTTCATTACTTTGGGTGCTGAAAGGGAAAATGCTGCCATTCTGTTGACTCACAGTCTTTGCCAAGAGAAGACTACGATATGGTATTTTCATTATGCCAATGGACAGAAGCCTGCAACGAATAGTAATGCTATACCTAGCAAGTGAGTTTTCAAAGTGCTGTTGCAGCATAGAAATTGCGTTACATTTTATACGAAAATAGACTTGGGCAAACCTAATATCAGCGGACAACAGAGCGTCTAGCAGATCTTCAATCAAAATATACGTATACAAAGTGCGCAAAAATATACTCGAACCGAATTTCGCAACATCAAGAGCCACCAGCTAAGAGCCGACTCGTGTGGGATTTGTGCTGATGATTCGAAGTTCACTACACAATGTACAAGTCAGTTTAAAGTGCATGAGCAGGCTGTACTGGCCAGTTCAGTGTCCGCGGAATCCGTGTCTAAGGTGCATGGCGCAACTCTGCGTGACAATGCGAGCATTTTGACATACATGATGTGTTGGAGGTACATGTTTGGAAGTTAAAAATTAGAAAACATTTCCTGGCAATTCGGGGTTCAACTTATCAGGATTCCACCTGTAATTGCCAACGCATGCCTGATCCGCAGCATCTACCACTTGTTTAAATCAGTTATTGCACAGCTGCTGGGCCACCAATAGTTTGGAATACGCCATTGCAATGCATTTCGAAACAGCAGTCCTGTTCTGTGCGGACTGCGGAGCACTCCTTACTTACCCTAAGCTAAGCCCAACATCACAATGCGTGCCTGTTCAGCGCATTTCCATTTGTACAAAATAGTCATTTCCTTCCTTATTGCGCTCAGGCATCCCCATCGCAGCCAATGCAAACCAGAATATTTACAGGAAAAGCTGACAGCGTACAGAAGGATATGAAGAACTTGATCACCACAAGTGTTGTTTGGTGCACAGCGACTCGCTACTAAATTATTGGACCACGATGAAGAGGGCGAGCTGAATTCACTTTTGTTTACTGTATTCGACATGTGGCAACGAATAGAAATACCGTGATGATGGTATAAAAGGAGAAAGAGAACGAATTAAGAAAGGACATTGTGAAAGAAGAATCCGACAAGTTTTCTTACAACACTCATCACGAACCATCGTTGTTTACCATAATTATTACCATAATTATTGTAGTCTCTTAGTTTATTTCCATCATTCCCTGTAGTATTTTGAGAAGAAGGGAACGAAAACGTTCAATACTTTTGACACATGTCCTAATTGGCTGGTGGTGATTCTTGCGTAGATGCATGCATAGACAATACATTTTTTGTAATAATTATTACCATAATTATTTAAATAAGCGACGAGACGACAATAGTTTTAGAATCGCGATAAACAGAAAGAGCTAAACAGTCATTTCATAAATATTTACAAGCTCGTGCGATCGCGTTTTACGTAACTTTGTGGGCTGCATATAGCACACTCGGATATTTATTTGGAGTTTCCCTGATCACATATTTGGAGGATGGAGCACTGCACCGGTCCATTCTGCACTGACTGTGTGCATATCGGGCCTAATGCCTAGTAATGGACACACAATGACCGGCGACAAAGACTTTTGAAGGCAATGAAGCCCGCGCAAACTTCGTTCCACAACGGCACTGAGGAAAAGACAATCCCAAGGACGGAATGGGAAACATGATGCAATGCCGAGCATAGCTGCTATCTCTTCGCATTCCGCTAGCAACATGAGCATGCGAGCAGTAGAGAACACTCCAAGCAATAATTCCCAACAATTTGTAGTGCGGATATCATATGACCCCACGTACACGTACACGCATCACGGAAGTAACCGACGGATCGCGGAGACGCAAAGCCCAGCAAGGCCACGTGCAAATAACTAACTACAATGTACCTTCAACATTACAAAAATATCCATTCAAGGGAAGAAACGCAAAGGCATTCAAACTGCAGACAAGATCATGCACTTCGCAATGTTGTCACACGCAGGGCTATTTTTTCGTTGCAAAGACACATCAAAGCAAGTACTGGCCGGCAGTAGACTAGACGCAATACGTGTTTGCCTGGATCAAAACCAGAATGTATAATTATTCTTTCGCCGCCCCCAATGATTCTTACCAGGTGTCTCAACTCTTCCGTAGTGGAACGGATTGACGCAGACATCTTTCTTGTTGTAGGAAAAGGCGAATTCGCAGCTGTCAATAGGCTTCAGCTCATGATGGCTCTGCAAATCTGGCCATCTCCACACGCGACAATATATTACATGGGGCAGGCCTTTACGATGGCTGACTTGCAAGCGGCCGTCGAGCGAACGGGGTATCGTCACACATTTGCTGGGCTGATCTGGCCTCTGCAGCGCTCGCTCCAACTCCTCCAGCATGGGCTTATTCTTTTTCAGCTTTTTGTAGAGCGCGTCCACAGCTTTCGTGCCCCATGCTTCGTCCTCGTCACCCTGTCGCCAGCCCAGAAGGCGCTTGACGGTTGGGTTGGTTCCAAAGTTCAGAAGACTACTCCCACCAGACGCCATGGCCTGGAACTCAAGGAAGACCACAGCAGATGGAGCAGCAGAGGAGGACAAGTGTTACTCGAAGCGAGAACACCGAAATAATGTTGCTCACACTAGCACTCGATTCACAACAACAGTATGCGTGGTAGTGTCCCAGGTGTACTGGTACACAGCATGATTGTTGTTTTGTAGACTTGAGGCTGAGCTCAGCGAGTCTTTGGGTGACTCATAAGTCAAAGCTCAGAACAATGTACATGCATGCATGCAGTGCAGTGAGTTGCACTGTGAAAATCTCGGTAGACGTAGGCCAAATTTTGTAGACAAGTACTGAAGTAGAGCTACGCAGTGCAATATGAGCAGATCTGCACGCTGCACTAGTTACTACAATACAGCGGAGATCGGATATAACGACCATGCATATTATGCAGTCAACTTCGCAAATTTAATAACGATATAACGACAATTCGCGAATAACGACAGAATTTCCATATGCCCAGAGCAAAGTCCAGCGCATCTACCGGTACTACTAGTAACTGTATTCATGGTATTACAGCAATTATGTAATGACTAATGAGACATCGGTACCGGGTATTACTATACCGTATTTCCGCGCATATAGCCATGGCGACATGTAGGTGAAACATCGCTGTTTTGGACCAAACTTTTGGAGAAAATAGCCTCGGTTTTAACGCCATGGCGCTAAAAGTGAGAGACGCTTACATGCAAAAAAATCGGCAGAGTATGAACTTCGAGTACTCGTATGGTGCCGTTGCACGTTCATGTCGAGCATCCACATACTTTCAATTTTCCATGAAAATTTCAAATTGTGAACCTATTGTGTACAAGGTAGCATACAAACTTACTTGTGTGAAGGTGCGATGGCGGTATGGCATGTGACAGTGGGAATGGGTACATGTAGAGAGAATCACCGCTACTGTAGGTTCACTGAAAGAATTGAACTCACCTTTAACGCCGGATGCAACTTCCTCCACATTGAATTTTGTTCACTTATAACGCCATGGCTTTATAAGTGAGGGTGGCCTTATATTCGGATATAACGCCATGGCTTTATATGCGCGGAAATACGGTAAGAATGCTGGTTGTTGTTGTTGTTGTTGTTGTTGTTGTTGTTGTTGTTGTTGTTGTTGTTGTTGTTGTTGTTGTTGTTGTTGTTGTTGTTGTTGTTGTTGTTGTTGTTGTTGCTGCTGCTGCTGCTGCTGCTGCTGCTGTTGTTGTTGTTGTTGTTGTTGTTGTTGTTGTTGTCGTTGTTGTTGTTGTTGTTGTTGTTGTTGTTGTTGTTTGGCTTTATTTAGAGTGGAGTTCCAAAACAGGCCGTAACTTACTACTATGATGACAATGGTCCCACTGATAATAAGAGAAAAGAAAAATATATAAATAAGCGGACAAACAGAACAGAGAAGAAGATAAGTTAGATAACTAATATGAGCACGGCAGCCGGTTCGCGAATAAGGACACTTTTCTGATGCCCCGCCGAGTATTGTTATACGCAAAGTTGACTGTAATGACAGATTGAGTTCACTGACACAATTTCCGTTGGCCAAGTCTAGAATGTAAGTAGTCGCGAGCATATCATAATGCATATGCGCTTGTCATTTGCGTACGCTTTTGATCGGGTATAACGACCAGGATCTAGGACTAGGAGACCGATGCCATGGGATTTATCGTGCGGTAGACCGCGTAGGAGGCGTAGTACGTAACCTGTGCCCGAACACAAAATGATGCACACTCGTCGACATCGCGCTCGTGCTCACAGACTAGTAGTAGTAGTAGTGTGTAGTGTGCAGTACAATGACATGTAGAGTATGTCATTTTAATGTTTAGTCTACCCCCTCTCTACTCTTCTGCTTCCCTGTATGTCCTTGCAAATGCTTGCCCACTGTCGACCCACCGTCAAAAATTAATTTGCACTTTTGCTCACAAATTTAAACTAGCTCTACATCCTCCTCATCTTAGCGTGTATAACTGGTTCCGAATCACAGATGGCTCCCAGACAAGATGATCTGTTGCCCTCCCCTTGGCTAAAATGTCCTCCCTTGTACACTCTCCACTCTTTGTTGCCTACTCTGCTTGGCTTGCGCTGCCCGCTACTACGCGCAATGCCAGTGCCCTGGACGCATTTAAATCTGCTCACTAGATTCACCATCACCTATCCCTCCCATGCTTCTCCGTCTTGACCATTACTTTTCTTCTTTTATTCACCATGGTTGGTTAACACCCACATCTCCCGTACTGGCTGATTTTCTTTTCATGCCATGGGGTGTTGTCTATAATAATAATAATAATAATAATACGAAGTAGTGGTTGCGACTTCGGCGATGATTTGTAAGAAAGGTTTGCTCCCTACACCGGAGCTCGCGCTATTCCGCTATTTCGACTTTTCTTGCAGGTTTGCCGAGTCGAAGGTTCGATGGACTTCTTGTGTGCTCTGGATGGCAGTCGTGAGTCAGTCAAGTGTCAAGTAAAGTCGGCGGAATAGCGCGAGCTCCGGTGTGGGGAGCAAACCTTTCTTACAAATAACAATAATAATAATAAAGAACTCTTCCTCTCCTCTCCTCCATGCGCTCTCACAGCCGACTCACTGCTACACTCAGTAGCCATTACACACACCAACCAAGGAAGGGTTGCAGGTAGATACTGAAATTCCTCCTGACAGCTGTTTCGCCTTCATAAGGCTCATCAGAGAAGGTGATATTGAATAGGATGATATCAGGTGGAGATGGTCAGATTTATACTACAAAACATGGGCGCAAGATTACGGGCAAAGTGTGAGAATGAGAAGTTACAATTCTCCAGCAACACAGTGCCAGGGGTTCCAAGAAAATGGCAGGTGAGTAATCCAATCACAAGCTGCTAAACTCTCCAGCAACACAGTGCCAGGGGTTCCAAGAAAATGGCAGGTGAGAAATCCAATCACAAGCTGCTAACATTATGCTAACACTAATTTTCTACTGGCTAGGTGATAGTTTTTAAAGAATTTTGGCGAGCCACCAAACAAAGTGAAAGAAAGTAGAGTACTAAGCGTGCAGTGCAGCAAAAGTTACGAAGAGTGCACACACGCATGAATGGACTGTAGTTACATGTAGATCTACTTTTCACTTTGTTTGGTGGCTTGCCAAAATTCTTTAAAAACTATCACCTAGCCAGTAGAAAATTAGTGTTAGCATAATGTTAGCAGCTTGTGATTGGATTTCTCACCTGCCATTTTCTTGGAACCCCTGGCACTGTGTTGCTGGAGAGGTTAGCAGCTTGTGATTGGATTACTCACCTGCCATTTTCTTGGAACCCCTGGCACTGTGTTGCTGGAGAATTGTAACTTCTCATTCTCACACTTTGCCCGTAATCTTGCGCCCATGTTTTGTAGTATAAATCTGACCATCTCCACCTGATATCATCCTATTCAATATCACCTTCTCTGATGAGCCTTATGAAGGCGAAACAGCTGTCAGGAGGAATTTCAGTATCTACCTGCAACCCTTCCTTGGTTGGTGTGTGTAATGGCTACTGAGTGTAGCAGTGAGTCGGCTGTGAGAGCGCATGGAGGAGAGGAGAGGAAGAGTTCATTACATTTTATTGGCCGAATAGTACCGTTCACCATTTGAAATAATAATAATAATAATAATATCGCCATGAAAGATTATGATCGAGATCTGGAGAGCAGGTTTCAGGCAAGAACGGTACACATGTACAACCAGGCAGTCACATAATAATACAGTACTCAGTAGTACTGAGCAGGGAGTAGTAAAATACAGTATATAATAATAATATATTACACAAAGGCACACAATGAAAACCTTGGCTTGGAAACGTTGTCTGATGATTGGCTCAGCCATGAAACTCTGAGTCACAACGGAATTAATTTGCCAAGGTTTTCATTGTGTGCCTTTGTGTACGCCGCTCTGCCTGAATCAGGCATTGAGCACTCTTGCAGAACCAAAGCATATTGCCGAGGCTGTGTAATAATATTAATTTTTATGTATTTTACTACTCCCTGGTACTGAGCATGGCTGCTAGCTGCCAAGACAAGTGCCAAACTGTCAATGCATTGAATGCAATGAGTAGATTGTACTATTGAGTACGAGTTCGAGACTGCCGGGTAGGCCTTTCCGGATTATGTGTTTGCATATTTTTGCATTTTGGGGGTCAAAATGCATTTTGTCCATTTTGACCCACTTTGGGCCAGGGAGTCGTAAAATACCGGTATTTTACGACTCCCTGCAAGCGATAGGTACTTCACGATCACCATGAATGATCACCATGGTGCCAAATGTCACGCGACTAGCTGTCGCCATTTTGTTACCATGGCAACGGTGGCATTTTTTTTGCTTTTTGGGTAAATTTTTGCATTTTCTTTAGAATTTTTTTTGATTTATAGGGGTTTTTCAAAACACTTTCCATTTATTTATTTATTTATTTATTTCACTCAACTCGTGGTTCATGACCAATTGGCACGCAAAGTGCGAGAGAGGGGTGATAGCCAACCACGGCAAGAAAAGAAAAGAAAGGAATATAGAAAAAGAGAAGAAAGAAGGATAGACAAGAATCCAGCAATGAGATCCTATCGTACTACATTATGCGATCGGAGTGCATTTTTAAAGCTGGAAAGACATTTTGATGTCTTTTATTAACATGCTGGGGAAGTTGCAGCCAAAGGCTGTAGGACAAAAACAGAGGAGAGTTGGTAAATGCGGCTGAATTAGCACGGGGAAGTGAGAGACTATTACGAGTGGACCGGGACAGAGAAAACCAATTGAATACGGAGAGATGAATGGGAATTTTACCTAGGCGAATTCTGTGGATCAAAACGCAAAGCTGCTGTTTGCGATTATCTTGCAGTGGCTGAGTATTGCTGATACAATAGAGCTCAAGACTAGGAAATAAACGCTGCTTGTTAAACAATATTTTAGGAAGAGATTTATGTTGGATTTCAAGTTTGTTCACAAGATGTTGACTTAGACTACACCAAGACTGACATGCATACTGGAAAATAGGTAATAGATACGAGCGATAAAACATAGAACGGCATGTATTTGGCAAATGAGAACGATGAGGATATAGTATGCCGAGAACACTACTAGTTTTCTTGCAAATATAGTCTACATGAGGAGCCCA